GAGATTGGCAGTTAATTTATGTTTCTTCCATTTGCGAATAATCGCACCAACTGTTGTCACCTTCTCACCCAGCTGCTTGGCGATGGTCTTGTAGCCCATTCCAGCCTTGTGTAGGTCCACAATCTTGTCCCTGACATCCTTGGAAAGCTCTTTGGTCTCGGCCATGGTGAAGAGTTTGGAATCTGGATTGATTGATTGCTTCTGTGGACAGGTTTCTTTTATACAGGTAACGAGCTGAGAGGGCTCCCAATGTCAGCTCGTTACCTGTATAAAATACACCTGGGAGCCCGAGATCTTGCTGACTGATCGGGGATCAAATACTTATTTCATTCATGAAAATGCAAATTACTTTATAACTTTTTTTGTAATGTATTTTTCTGTTATTGTTGTGTGTCTCTCACTGTTCACATAAACCTACCATTGAAATTGTAGACTGATCATTTCTTTGTTAGTGGGCAAGCTTACAAAATCAGCTGGGGTTCAAATAATTTTTTCCCTGACTGTAATTTAGTTTTTCATTCTATCTCATTCATTGACTCCTACAAATGAAAAATGTTTTTTTACAGAAATTCTCCATAGATCTGTTTAACTTCAGTGCAACTGAACAGACTAATAGTTTCTTTTTTATTCTGTAGTATCCATACTTTGTAATATCTGAGGGAATTTTTTCATTAGTTTGGTGAATTCCACTTTGTACATGATGTTGTATAGTACACATTTATCAAACTGAATTTTTTATGCTACCTTGACACTCCCACACTTTAGTCATCCTTCCTCTTTTATAAAACCATAAGAATGTGACTTACATGTCACTGATAACGTTTTAACTCGGTATTTCATGACTCCTGACATTTAATCCTATAAACAGTCCCTGTCTTAGGATGAGAGCAGTGTTTAGCGCTGTTGCCTCACAGCAAGAAGGCTCAGAGCTCAAGCATTGTGTAAAGTTTGCATGTTCTCCCTGTGCCTGTGTGGGTCCTCTCCAGTTACTTTGTCTTCCTCCCACAGTCCAAAGACATGCAGCTTAGGTTGATTGGCAACTCTAAATTGTCCACAGGAGTGAATGTGAAAGTGTGTGGTTGTTTGACAGACTGGCAACCTGTCCAGGGTGGACCCCGCTTCTCACCCGATGTCAGATGGTACAGGCTCCAGGTCCCAACCATATTCAGGAAAAAGCGGTAGTTGTTTAACTTGGGTCAAATGTTTTGGGCAGCTGTGGCTCAATGTGGTCGTCTTCCCCAACTGGAAGGTCGACAATTCGATTCCCATTCTCCCCAGTCCACATGTCGAAGTGTACTTGGGCAAGACACTGATCCCCAAGTTCTGGTGGCCAGAGCTGTACCTTGTAGGGACAGCACCGCCATTGGTGCGTGTGTGAGGCGGCGCCACAGATGTCTGTCTCTGTTCTGTACCAGAGACAAATTCCTTGTGTCTGTAACGTATGTGGCCAATGAAAGTGATTATTGTCACTAGCTAGCTGGAGTTTTGGCCCGTTCCTCCTGACAGAACTGATGAAAATGAGTCAGGTCTGTAGGCCTCCTTGCTCCCACATGCTTTTTCAGTTCAACAACAGTTCAACTTTTGTTTCATCAGACCAGGGGACATTGCTCCAAAAAGTAATATCTTTGTCCCCATGTGTAGCTGCAAACCATAGTTGGCCTATTTTATGGTGGTTTTGGAGCAGTGGCGTCTTCCCTGCTGAGCAGCCTTTTAAGGTTATGTCGATATGGGACTGGTTTTACTGTGGATATACAGTAGATACTTTGGTACCTGTTTCGTCCTGTGTCTTCACAAGGTCCTCTGCTGCTGTTCTGGAATTGATTTATACTGTTTGAACCAAAGTACATTCATCTCTAGGAGACAGAATGCATCTGCTTCCTGAGTGGTATGATGGGTAGTTTGTCCCATGGTGTTTATACTTGTGTAGTATTGTTTGTACAGATGAGCGTGGAACCTCCAGGTGGTTGGAAATTGCTCTTAAGGACGAACCAGACTTGTGACTCTAGTCTAATGTTATAGACCAAAGATTATAACTGTAATGTTATATTTATTCTGAGTACATGAGTGTGAGTCATACAAACTCCAAAATGAGAAGTACAGGAAAACAAAAACTAAACAGGGGAAAAACAAAGCAGTGTGTTGATGAAACCCCAGTGCCTCATGGCCATCCAGTGTTTCTTACTTTATACTTTGACTAGAAAGTACCTATATCCACTTTTCAGTAAACTATTCAGTGGAATTGAAAATGGAAGCAGCAGTTCAAAAGCAGTTTCATCTACCTTTGACTCTGTCCATGGGTCAGGGGTCTGTTCAGTTGACTTTTTCTGTACCTTTTTATAGCCCACAAAGGCCAAACTGTCAGCAAACAAGAACTTCAAGTAAAATGGAAATGAGAAGTGAGATCAGCTCGATAAAGAGTCGGCTAAAATAGCTTATCAAGTCTTGATTGTACATGAGAAATGTTAGCTGTGCGGTGTCCCTTCACATGTGATTGACATCCCACAGTGGTATATTCATGCAGTATTAATGTTGCATGAATTAAAAGTGTGACTAAATCTAATGTATAAACTCAAGTTGCCATTCCTTTTTAAGCCAAAGGGAACACTTGGCAAACTACTATTAAAGAACAGCCTTCCTCAGTGGAAAGTGTGTAACAGTCAGCATTTAGAGGCGAGTGTCATTTTGTGCTTGTTCACTAAAAACAAATGAGGAACAAGGTCAGACAACGCGTGGCATTTCTGTTGCCTTGCCTCATAAGGTTATGATGCTTTACTAATGTCCACTTTGCATATTTAACAAATAAAAGCATTAAAAACAACTATGTAATATCAAAAGGTATAAAAACAAAACCTGAAAACACTGACACTAGTATCTTTGATTCACTGTCCTCCTCCTGTCTTTCAGCTACAGTATTATTCATCTCCGCCCTCCTACACAGACGTCTCTGACTGGAGCTTCATGGCGAACTTGTGACTTTTGGGGTCAATGAACTCCTCGCCCAGATGGAGGAAGGGAAGGGACGTCACCGTGACGACGAGGGAGAAGTCCAGGCGTTTCAGCGAGAAGACCTGACCCTGGCGCAGAGAGGCCGTCACAGGCTCCTCGCTCACCAGCGTCCACTGGTGCCCCCTGCTGTTGTCCAGGTACTGGAGGGTGGGACCTGAGCTGAGGTATCGCTCAAGGAAAGCCTTCAAAGAAACAACAAAATGTGTGCAAATCAGTTTAGAAGTAGATAGCAGGAGCAGAACTGATGGATTTACAGCTTTAAAGTTGTGGTTTGTTTTTGGCTTTTACATGTTTCACACCCCCATATATTTATCCAAATAAGTCCTAAGTTTGAAAAGTAAAATTTTCTGCTTATGAAAGGACCTCATTCATCACTTTTTATGGTTGACCGGTTCCTCACAGCCTCAGTGGTGCTTTATTATGCAAATAATCCACTGTTTCATATTAGTAATTAATGAATAATATTAAATCTATAGAAAATAACCACCAAAATAAAGCATTAATTCAAATAAAAGGCATAAAAATAAATTTGAATTCTGGAAATTTAAAAGATAAAATAAAAGTATGTATTAATAAAATAAATACAGTGGCACTACCCTCCTGACCTTGGGGGTCATGTTGTGAGTGATGCAGAATTGCAGGTGGTTGATGATGCTCTCCATGCTGTGGTACGACTGCTGCCGGGTGGCACGGAGGTACTTCTGCATGGCCCGCGCCATGGGTGCAAAGATGGCCTGCGCTGCCTCCCTGGGGTCCATCAGCTCCCGGGGGTGTTTGGGGGAGGATGAGGTCATCTCTTCTTCCTGATGACGCCTGATGTGGGTGAAGGCTTCTTCCACTGTGACCACCAATCTGAGAGGAGAAATGACTGCACAGATGAGACCTGGATATAAAGCTTTTTATATGAACAATGAGGTCGCTTTCAAAATTTGTTATTTTATCTGATTATTAGTTCTATTCTTTACTAGACAGATGTATATAGATCATTTTCACTCCATCTTATCCTTCAGTCAGTCTATTCTTTATATAGTATGTGGGTATATCCTCACCTGGCCTTGCGTTTGCGAACCCTCCGCTCCACCTCTGCCTCCTCATAGTAGTACTCGTTGTGGGAGTTGTCTCTTCTCTGAGCTGTGGCTGTGATCATGGCTCTGGACTGCCCTGTACAGTTATTGGTGCCATTCTCTGTAGACAAACACTGAAGTTAATGATGACCAGTTCATTTGACAAGCCACCCAGACTGTTCACAGCATGTCCACCAAGTGTAGCTGTTTTTATTTCATGTATGATTTGAGCAGGTAATATGCTACTTTACTAAATCTAAGAGGGTAATTTTGCTGTTTCAGGCAAATAAGACTGAGGTTAAGGCTGCACATAAGATCATGTTACCTTCCTCTAGGTTGTAGACCTTAAAGGCAGACATCTTCTTAGTAAGGATAGCTCTGGGTAGGTTGACCAGGGCAGGGTTATATACTGGGAAGTCACTGTAGTACTGGTCCAGAACCCACACTGCTGCTCGCTGAATACTGTTGCACAAAACAGACTTCCTCTTTTAAAGTGACATATTGACAACTGACAAAGAGCCTTTATCAGTGTACATCTCTTGATCCCCTCACAGCATCATAGCAACTGTGACATGCACAAGGGGGAAGTGGTGAACCACCAGAAGCAGTAAACACACCATGTGTGCTGTAAACATGGTGAACAGTGTCTGCTCTTCTATGGTAATAGCTTAACACCAAGCAAATGAGACAGACCATGTACACAAAAAAGTGACCACCAAAACATACAATAGTCTCCATAGTGGAAAAAGGGTGCATATTTAAAGTAAAAATAAAAATCAAAAAGGCAACATTCCTGATTTTCCACACACTAACCTGAGATGTCCTACACTGTAGAAGCGGCTGGCTCCGTCTGTGGTCCTCACAACCTTCAGACAGAAAGCAGGCTGCAGGTGTCTGACCTCCAGCAGCACCAGGGCCAGGTACTGAATGAAGAGGAGGACATCCACCAGAGACGCTGCATATCCCACAATTCCCCGGTAGTCCGTCTCTCTGGGCTCCAGGACCCGAACTCCATAGAAGAGCCAGTAAGATGCCACGAAGAGGAAGACCAGAGCCAGCAGCAGGCAGCGGAAGACATAGAAGCGTGGCAGAGTGGCTTTAGGCGAGCGGAGAAACAGAGCCCATGTGGACATGAGAAGGATCAGGAGCTTGAAGGCAACAGAAATGTAAAGCCCCTCACATGGTGTGCCGCAAGGGTCCAATGAGTCTCGCCAGAACAGCTGTGGGAGGGCCAAGAAGGCCAGAGGCGTGACCAGAGAGAAGACCCCCAGAACAACACCCAGGGCCAGGCTGAGGTAATGGTGGCAATCCAGTGGCAAAGACTGCTCAAGGTCCTTAGAAATCCGCGTCAGGTCCTCGTTGGAGATGCTGTCCACAGAGGTGCCGGTGACCACCGTGGTGGTTTCACCCCAGTTATCATCCTGAAGAGAGAGGAGAGCAGAGAGATGAGCACTGGTGTAACTAGCTCCATGTAAAACACTTTATAAACTGAATGATTTAAACTGAACTCTGACCCTGTCGTCTCCTCTGGTGGACTCTTCATCCAGCAGCAGCTCTCCTGGAGCCTGGATGGTCATCAATTTATCTCCACGGAGGCGGCTGTCATGACTCTTTGAGCGGTACCGGTCTCTCCTCTCTCTGGAGAGATATCACAGAAGGTATACAAGTCACGGATGCTTTATTATTCATGGGCAGAAAACAATTATTTCATACTTCCTGTCCTGGCAAGTTATATGTAGTCCTCTAGTCATTCATCTTATTATTTAATAGCTAGTGTGGTAAAACACCAATCAGCAAATCTAAAAGCAAACCATGAAAGGGTTTGATTACAGCAGCTAAACAAAACCAGAGAAGACAAAACAGACAATTCTAAGGTACATTTTCTGCAGAGGCATGTTTTTATTTTGTCATTTCTGTATTTTATTCTCTTGCAGTTTTTCATTTGAGCTTAGAGAGCCACTATGTGACCCACAGTCTAGTATCTTTGAGATTATTTTGCCATTTTTTGATATAACCACTAGAGGGCATTTGACAATGTCCTCATTCTACACAGTGTTGTAATCATTTACTGTACAGTACTTTAGTTGATTTATATTTTTTGGATGAGTTCGGTGCTGTAACTGTTATTTTACTTTGGTGATTAATCTGCCATTTTTTCCTCAATGAAACAATCGTTACTTATGAGAAAACAGTGAAATATACTACTTCACTCTTGTAATTAGAGCTGACACAATTAGTCAGTTAAGTGACTGGCAAAAAATTAAGCAGCAATCATTCTGATATTTGATTAAATGGTTAATTTTTAAGTAAAAGAGCCAAAAATCACTGGTTCCAACTTCTCTAATGTAACATTTGTTGTCTTTTAGTCCTCTGTGATAGAAGATGGTAAATCTTTGTCTTTTGGACTGTTGGTTGAACAAAACAAGCAATTTAAAGATGCCAGTTTGGGCTCTGAGAAGTTATAACAAGCTGTTTTTAAAAAGACTACACTGAGAAAGTAACTGATAATGATTTTTTTTGTTGCAGCTCTACTTGCAACACAGTGCACTCTGCGATCCTCTACCTGCGTTTGCGGGAGCTTCTTGAGTGGGATGACTTGTAGGAGTAGCTTGAGTAAATCGAGTCGTTGTCCATGTCAGAGGCTTTTGCTGGACGGGGTTTCTGGGCCCCTCCTGGCCCCGTGTCCTTCTCCCAAACTACACCCAGATGGCTTTTGTGGTTGCTGATGGACTTAGAGGAAAGAGGCAGAGGGATGCGCAGCAAGTCCACTTTACTCCTAAGGGAATCTATCTTGGAAGCCTAGGAGAAGATTGGAGGAAGGCAGGGTGAGAGATGAATGATACAGGAGTCTGCAAGAGGAAATGATGAGTGTGGGAGAAAGAATGTGGGGAGATGAGGAAAGGGAACAGAAAGGCATCAGAGAAAAGAATGAAGAGAGAATGAGAAGGGCTAGAGATAATTTGTCATACCAGACACAAGCAAAGGCATCTCAGAGGGAAACATGCCAAGTAACTGCCACAAGAGAGCGAGCACTGTTAAAATGTTGGCACTGTGTGTGAAAGAGTCTGCATGCGCGCTTCCAGCTGCACGGGACATAGCGCATTCTTCCACTTTGATGGTGTTTTTATGAGCAAGCCCAAGTGATTTGGCCCCCAGTGTGTTCTTGGTCAATAAAGGGCGATTACGCCACCTTCTATTCTGGGTTCCAGGTCTCTAGTGTGCAGGACATGCAGGAATGGGGGCAAAACATCAGAGCAGCTCAGCTATGCTCCAGTTTTATACACGAGCGACCCAAGCAAAGCTGAAACTTGTTCTTTTGGAGAATATGTTCAGTGTTATACAAAGAACAAACACTTTGTTTGTTTATGTGAGCTTGATTTTAGCCAGGAAACCTGAATCCTAGCACTGTTTTGTTTCATGCGTGATACATACTCACCCAGACACCACATTCCCCAACTGTCCCCTGTGGTCTCCAAGGGCAGCAGAGCTTAACAACTACAATGGAGATGAATGGCAGGCTATGGGTGAGAAAAGACAGGACGGGGCGTTTGTCATGGCAACCACAACATCAATTCAGCCCCAACTATACACCTCAGAAGATCGACACAAATCATTTACCGAGCTGTGAGCCCCACTTAATTTTATGAATATTTATCCATTTGTCTACAGGCTTTTACTTTGTTACTGTTTTACATCATAAGTTTGTTTTCATCCTAAAATAACTGTGCTTTTTTAGCCGGTACTTTCTGAAATGGCATTAAAAGCAGCAGACTAACAAATCTCCTCATGCTCTTTATTTGTGCCACGACCTCGTGTGACCCATCTTCTACATTAGACACTTCAGACATGACTACTGGCTTTCATGTGGTTCATACACGGACTCCTCATCTTGGACATTTCCAAGCAGATACTTGAATGCAAGGCTGAACCTGTAAGGCTCTAAAATGAATAACACCTCTGCCACAGTTCGCCAGAAGACACACTGAAGAATATGAAGTCCGATGATGTGGCCTGATGAAACCGAGCTGTCTGTTGGACTAAACGCCAAATTTGGTGTTAAGCCAAACCTTGCACATCATCCTAAGCATCGCCACTTGTGTGAGTAATGCAGCTAGATACAGAGAAATCCTGGAGGAAAACCTGATCCAGTTTGCAAGAAAGTCTGGGAGAAGATTTACTTTCCAACAAGAAAATGAGCACACAGTCAAAAAGAAATGGCTTAACAACAATTTAAACATCCCGGCATGGTGAAGTCAGAGTCCACAATCCAACTGAGAATGTGTGGCTGTCCAGTCAAGACCCCCCATGCAGTCTAACAAAGCTGGAGCAGTTCTGAAAAGAGCCAATAAAACTTCAAGGCACTGAATAGTCTTTATAGACATTGTCCAGGGGAAACACTCTCTACATTCCTATAAGAGGAGGCCCATTGTCACATCTTAATGTCAAGTAAAGTACTCTGCTGACTTTCTGGTTAAAAATGGAAATGGCACTGAGCTAAGAATGGCTATTCTCTGGTGGCATGAGCAGGTAATTTTGGATCTCTGCTGCAGCAGCAGTGACGAAACTCATGCTAACTCTGAAAAGAAGTAGGCAGCCTTTCTCTCTGTGCAGACAGTGAGTGATTTGTTTGCAAACTGTGATTTATAATAGCTGCACGCTATTCAGACGTGGTTAAATAGTGCCCCTTCTAAACAACAGGGCAGAATGCACGTTGAGACACTGACTGCATTGACAACTGTAATCTGTCCACAGCTGACTGGCTTACACTGGAGTCCATGTTCAGCATCATCTGGCAGGAGAGACTTTCCATGTGCTGTGTGGAAACAGGATGACTGTTATCACAATGCTCTTATTTGGCATAGCAAGCCCACATGTGTAACCAAAGTGTAAATAATGTACCAAACGCATAATGTGGTCCATTTGGCACACCGCGCCTAAAACCGCAAAACAAAGTATATGGAAAACAAAATGAACAGGCAAATGAGTTCCAGGGTTAACTGTGGGAAACCGGCGTAGCGTTCACACTGGCAGTGACGCGAATCTGTGCTCGATCGCCTTTTCTGCCAGCTCATCAGTTCTGACACATGATGTGGCGGTGGACTGATTGAAGAATGAAAATGCATTGGGGTTACATTGGGATTAAGTGTTCATTTGGAAGTTTTTGGATTAAGGCCATTATAAAAATGTTAACAGCACAGTTTGCCCATAATTCCTGCAGGAAAATCTTACCTTTCCATCCAAGAGGAAAAGGCTGCAACCTGCAGCACAACGAGCCCCACAACAGCAATTCGGAGCAGACCGTCTCCAACAGAAGTTGATCCGCTTACTCTAAATCCACTTTCTCCTCTCATCTGTCCACGGTATTCGGCTCATGTGCAACCCAAGAGTAACTTCTCTGTATCGTGAAGCTAGTTTGTTTTTCGCAGCTCAGATCGAAGCACCGAACCCGCACAAAAGGCAGAGACACGCACCGCATCCCGGCGCTGCGCCTCCAGTGGCAGTGGAGCCGCGCTGAGCTGAGGCGGGTCTGTGCGCATTATCCGGCTACGTGGTGTTGTAGCAATATGTGTCCCCCTCAATTTAACCATTATAATCACCCAGTAGCTTTGTATATGTTAAAGTACATCTACATAGTATAACCAGTCAAATGTAGCATTCATTTAGCCAAATAGTAATAACAGATAATACTTTGAAAGGGTTTTTATTTCGCCTCATAATAACTTCATTTTACTGTCGTGAGTAATATTGTAATTATTGGCCATCCAGTACCTTTGTACAAGTTTCAGTACTTTTAAAATGCTACAGTATGAGCAGTAAATCACAGTGTGCTCCTTGCCAGAAAGTGATTTCAATTAAGACTTTTTAACTGAAGGGAGTTTTCTGCCTCAGATTGCCTTTATATCAGAATCAGAATCAGCTTTATTGGCTATGTGTGTCAGACCCACAAGGAATTTGACACTGGTACATTGGCTCTCAATGTGTATGCACATATCCCCATGCAAGGGGCAAGTAAACAGCATAAGGCTGTGTAATATAACAAAATAAACAGTATTAACAGGCAGGAAACGATGCAGACAACAAAGGAATGTTCATTGAAATTAGATAAATAGGGATAAAACAGAGTACTTAAAAATAAAGACCTGCATTTATCTGTGCAATGTATATATACACAGGTATTGCACTGAGGGTTGTTGTCCAGTCATACTGTTGTGGGTCAAGTGTTGATCAGAGTGACAGCCAGGGGGAAGAAACTGTCCCTGTGCCTGGTTGTCTTGGCGCACAGTGACCTGTAGCGCCATCCAGATGGGAGGAGTTCAAACAGATTGTGTCAGGGGTGTGAGGGGTCTGCAGTGATCCTCTGGCCTCCTTTTGACCTGTGGGTACAGGTCCTCCATGGAGGGCAGGCTCACACCAATGACCTTTTCTGCAGTCCTGACTGTCGTTGGTGTAGAGTGAAAACAGCAGAGGGAAGAGCACACATCTCTGGGGGGCGTAAATGTCTGCTGGTGTCATATTAATGTTTTAATTTCCAGTCCACAGTGTGAGAAATAAGTAAAGACATATTCTATTAGACAAAAATATTTATTGGATCAATTATATTCTTTCAAATATTTCAATACCGACACTGTTATCAAGGCAAATAATAATAATAATAATAATAATAATAATCAGTTTTCTTTCTGTTAGGTTGTGATGAAATGAATGATACAGGAGTCTGCAGTGAAAATGTTTGTCAAATCTGTAGTAGAACATTTTCAGGTCGTCTTAAAGGCATGACAACAGCCATGGCAGCTAACATGGAGAATTGTACAGAAGTTTATTAATGAAGTACATTTACTCTTGTGGAGTTTTTCCTTTTAAAACACTTAAAAATTGTACATTTAAACTCAGTGAAATGGGAATATTTCTTAAAATGTACTGATGAGTTGAAGGCTATTTTAAATCTTAGGGAATGATGATACAAATTAGTTATTCAGAAGAAAGTCCTTGTGCATCAAGGCACATTCTAAAGGAGCCAAACCTGACTGATGTGTGACTATAGGTGTGTCCTTGTTCTTCCAGTATTTGTTATCAACAACGTGACACCGACCACCACACTTCTCCACCAGATCTTTCAGATGCTTATTCTTTCTGACAAACTGCTCAACTGTCATTTCTTCAGACAGCTGGTCGCCATGTGTGAAGACGACTGTAGCATATTTTAAAGCCTCTGGGGAAAAATACCTTTTCATTTGTGTGATGACATCATTCTCCTGCTCTGTGAATTTCTCCAGTTTCAGCACAATGAGAAAAGCGTGAGGCCCAGGAGGCCACGCCGTCACACACCTCACTATCTCAGCCTCCAGCTCCTCCTCAGACGCTCCTTGGGCAAAGAAACCAGGAGTGTCGATCAGGGTGAGGTTTCTTCCACCGACAGATCTGGACTTTGCTTGACAAACACTGGCTTCTGAGCCAGGAAGATGTTTGACTTTGAACACATTCTCTCCAAATAGGGTGTTAGCAAGGCTGCTCTTCCCAGCTCCAGTTTTCCCCAGCAGTGCAATCCTCCACGTGTTCGGCACTAAGAGAGAATACTCACTATCAGTATCAGTTTCAATAAGATAGGGAATGTAAAGGTTGGTTTCTGACTGGAGGTGGTTGGTGGGATACAAAATGGCCGACGCTGACAGCAGAGTTTGTACTGATGAAACTCATGTGTCCATGTGTCAGTAGTTCAGTTATTTTGTTGATTAATTTGGTTAATATTTTTGGTCATAGTTTCTACAAGAACAGGTCAAAAATTTGTTTGAAGTTGACAGGATTAAAGCTTTAGATTAAATCAAATCTGGGACTAGTTAAGTAGATGGACCAACAAGCCACAGGTGTCCCACATCAGCCACTGACTGGCATAGTGCCACTGGAAAACAGGAAGTCTCTTTAAAAATAACATTCTAGTAGGAAGCCAGGGATGAAACATACTTTGGGCCACATTTGACAGGATGTAGTTGAAGTCCAGTTTTTTTCTCATTTGTACCTCATACTCCATTAAACTGAATCAAATCTGAGAGACGAGTGTAATGGGTTTCTATAGAAACTTACAGAAGATGAAACAAACAAAGCTCCAAAATTTCAGTGAAACAGACTCCAGACCTGCATGTTAAGCCATAAATGGTTGATCCAGGCTGGATCCTGTCAAGCTTTCTGTTTTGGGCACATTTCAGCCTTTGGTGGCCACAAGTGATCTATCAAAGTAATGTAAACTAATTTCCTCTTAAAGATATTTTGGCTGTCATTGTCTTGACCTTATATTAATAAATCCATAATTCTGTTAGAGTTGGTGTTTCTCACCAGTTGGGGTGAGAGAGAGAGAGAGAGAGAGAGAGACTCAGGGCACAAACTCGGTGCTATAGAAAAGAGTCTTCATTACAAAATATAGGCAGATTGAAGACAAAGTCAATGGGGTTAATCTCAAGACAGACAGTCCAACGGACACTACACACCGCTGGGTTCCACGGACGCAGACCAAGGAGGACACCACTTCTCCAGATAAGGCACACAAAAGGCCACTTGGCCTTTGCAAATGCTCATCTGGACAAAGAAGAAGACTTCTGGTCTTCTGTTTTATGGTCAGATGAAACAAAAATTGAATTGTTTGGCCACAATGATGTAGCCTTCATTTGGCGTAAAAAAGGAGAAGCCTTCAACCCTAGGAACACCAT